TAGTCTTAGCTATATTAAGAAAGTTCTAAACGTGCCTATAATAAGTCTTACTAGAAACGTTAGTAATATCTTCTAGATAGTCTTAGTATTTTATATTAGAGTAAAAATAACTAATTATATTAGCTTAGAACTTAAGAGAGCTGCTTATTACTTTAATAATAGCGTTATCTTTAGCTATCTTTACTTCTTATAGAGTAAGTGCGCGTTAGTTATTAGTAAAACCTAACTAAGAGTGTAGGCTAGAGAAGTTAGGTTATATAGTAAAGTTACTGCTAGACACTATAGAGAAATAAGGCTGCTGTAATATAGCGCTAGCTTACTAGTAGTAATTATACTTAATTATTAGGTTAATAATAGAGGTACTATGTATATTAGAAGTAGAAGTAGGCGCTAGGCTGTTAGCTCTAGTTATATATAGATTAGTATTACTAATACTATATCTATAGCTAAGCCTAGTATATAGATATTATAGAATATATGCGTACTAAGTTTAGAAAGCGTTATTATACTAACTAAGTATATTTACTATTCTATATTTAAAAGCTATAAATATATTTATTATCTTATTCTAGCTAATAGATTTATAGTAATATTATAGTAAGCTAAAGAGTATTCTACTTCTAGTAGATAAAAACCTTCTACTATTATAGTTCTACAGAGCGTTATAGAAAAGAGGCTAATATAGGTAGCTTAGAGAAGCGTTATAAAAAGTAAGTTAGAGTGCTTAGTTCTGTAGGCTAGTAGTAGTAGCAGCAGGCCTACTAATATTATAATAGCTGTCTATTCTAGCTAGAGAATATATAGCCTTAGAAATCTAGTAGTTCTCTAGTTATAGTTATAGAGGTAGTTACATCTTAAGTAGTACTATATTTAAATCTATTAGAGTAAGTAGATAACGTTTAGCCTAGTTATATAAGGTAGTAGTAAATCTAGTAAATAGTGTAGAGACTAGTCTTAGTTTAGAATGTATAAAGCGTAGCGTATAGAAGAAGTGTAGTTAGTTTATTACTAAGTACTAGTAATAGAGCTATTTCTTAAGCTATTATAGTAGTAAGCTATACTCTAAGAAAGTAGATTCTATATCTTACTAAGCTACCTTCTTTTTACTACTCTATTTATAAATTTTCTTAGTAGGTAGCTGTATAAGTGCGTTTTATTTAAGTAAGACGTCTTAAAGGTTAATTATAGTAGTAGAGTTAAAGGTAGCGTAGTCTTTAGGCAGAACTTTATATTAAAAAAGGTATACTAGTTACTATAAAGGTACTTAGAACTCTATATATAATAGAGCGTAGCTCTATACTTATAAAGAGGTATAGCTAGACTATTATAAGATAGCGTAGCTAGAAGAGCGTAGTATATTTAAGTAAATAGACCTTAGTCTAGTAGATAGACTACTTTAAGTATAAAACTAGTAAGGTTTAGTAATAAGTAATATATTACTATAGGCGCCTTAGAGTTCTAAAGGTATCTCTTAGTAGGTCTCTACTTAAGGTAGTTACTAGTTACTAAGAGTAGAAGGTAATATAGGTGTAGTATAGGCTAATACTTAGTTATAGTAATAAGAGCTTATAGCGTATTACTCTATAGTAGACTTAAAAAAGTTAACTTTTTTTATAAAGTTCTTGCTAGCTTTACGTAGTCTCTTAGAATAGAAAAGCTAGATAGAAGAGTAGCTTAGTTATAAGTTGCTTTTAAAAAATAGTTAGCGTAGGCTAGAAATAAAATAGGTTTCTACTTTAGAGAGAATAATATCTACTTATAGGTAGCCTTAAAAAGAGCTAGAAACTTTAAAAGTTTTAATAATACTTTATACTATCTATAAGACCTATAATATAATAGTAGAGTAGTAGAAGTTAGTCTTAGTAAACGTAATAATATTATAGATATAGATAATAGTATCTTTAGTTAGAGCTAGTAGTTATATTAGGCTAAGTTCTTAAATATAGGTAGAGAGTTAGGCAGTAGTTATATAGTTAGGTAAAGTTAGTACTAAGAATTAGTACAAAAGTAGTACCTTAGAAGAAGTAGTTATATTTACTAAAAATTTATAAGCTAATAAAGTAAGTGTTAGAAAGTGTAATTTAATTACTTACTATTATTAGAAAATATATTTAATACTATAGTAGAGTGTAGAAGAGAACCTATAAAGTAAGTAGTAGAGCGCTCTTTATTTTAGTAGAAATTTAGGTAGTAGTTCTTTCTACTAAGCTAAGTATATACCTACTAGGTTTAGGTAGAAAGGCTTATCTATAAAGTTAGAGCTTACTATCTCTAAAGTTATAACTTTTTAAAGAGTAGTTTATAGTATTAAAGTTTATAAAGTAGCTAAAGTATTAGTAGGCGTAAATAGTAGTTCTATAGTAGTTATATTTTACGCTAGTAAAGTATAGAAAAACCTACTATTACTAAGTATTACCTACTATAAGTTTTTAGTAGTGCGTATACTTAAGAGAACTATATAGTATAAAGCTTTATCTAGTGTAATTATTTTACGTAAACTAGTGTTTAGCTTAATCTTATTATTAAGGTTATTTTTAAGAAGGCGTTACTCTATTATAGAAAGAGGTAGTTACGTAGCGTATAGTAAGTTGTAAAAGTTACTAGAATATATAGCTTATACTATTATACTTAACTTATATATAGTATTATAGTAGTAGTATTATAGAGGTTATAAAACTTAGTTTATAGCGTAGGGACGCTTATATAAGAGTATTAAGTGCGCTAGTAAGTAGTAGTAGTACTAGAAATAATAGCCTAGTATAAGTTATAAAAAATAATAGTAAGCTTAAGTAGCTACTAAACTATAAGATATATAGGTAAATTAAATTATTATTATAAAAGCTACTGTGCTAACTACTAAGGAAGGAGAGCCTATATACCCGTGAGGTAATCACGTGACACTCAGGCTAGACAATGCTTCTTCCGATCGCCTAATCGAAGGCATAATTATCGATCAGCTACCGAAGACCTTTGCAGACTCCCTCCATGTATGCCAACGGCTTGGTATCCGATTTATTTGGATTGATGCATGCTGTAAGCTACACTTTTCCGTAATTATGGTGTACCGTGTATGTAACTAAAGCTCGTATATCTAGGCATCAAGCAGGATTACGAGGAAGATTGGAAGGAAGCAGCAGCAACAATGGCAAACATCTATGAACAAGCCCATCTTACCATCGCAGCTACTTGGGCTGCCAATAGCGACTTTGGTCTGTTCGCGTCAGATCGAGAACGATACAAGTCCCGCAAATTGAAAGACTACGAGCTCTACGTACGCGAGAAACACGACAGCGACCCTCGACATGCTACCTATTCACTAGATTTGCCGCTTATGACTAGGGCTTGGGTGTACCAAGAACGACGCTTGTCGCCACGAATGGTGTATTTCTGCAAAGACCAGGTAAGCCGGCTGTAGTCTCTTTCTGTCAACGTTTATAGTCTTTGATTGGCGAGATAACACTGGGATCTGTTGGGGGCGAATTGGTACCCGAGGCGGATCACCTGTTACTTCGTTGGGAATCTAGTACCGAACGCCTAACTCACCGTCCAGATATACTGGCAATGCCCCAATCTGTTCGCGTCAGAAAGTGGATTGATCCATGAAGACCTCAAAAACGGGCCCATCCTTGGAACTGACGAAGACCCAGTCCGCCGCTGGCGTGAGATTGTAACTGCATATTCTGGATTGGAATTGACTTATGCAAAAGATCGATTACCAGCTATCGCCGCTATAGTTGAACGAGAAATGCGACTGCGAAAAGCCGATACATACATTGCTGGTACATGGGAAAGCAGTCTGCTCATTGACCTACTCTGGTACACCAATGATACCACAGTAAAGCGGCTGCCACGTCTCTCAAATTCCGTTCCAACGTGGTCGTGGCCATCTTTACAAGCCATAATTTACTGGCATAGCGGAAAGATGGTGCCATCGCTCACCCTAGTCGAGATATCCTTTACCCGCCTTGGGCCAGCTCACGTTGGCGAAGTTATCGATGCTAGTATCACTTTGAAGGGCCCAACGTGTATGACTCGGCTAACGCATGTTGGCGAAACAGAAGACGAACTCCCCCGCCTCTGTATGGAGATCATCTCTCCTCCGTGTGAGGGCGCTGGAGTATTTATCCTGGACGGTATACCGATGGACTTTGATTGGACTACTGGTGACCGGCCTGTCTCGGCTGGAGATACGTTCCTCGTCATTCTGATCCATGTTTACTCTGATGACATGGCGCCTTGTTCGAGGGGACTCACGCTACGGCAGGTCTCCGATGACACCTTCGAAAGAATGGGATTCATTGAGATTTATCCGTTACGTGAAGGTCGAGGCTCTAGGCAGGACTACCGTGAGATGCTCAGCGATTTTGTCGACGCGCAACCCATTCGGCAGGTCAAGATTATTTGAAGAGCAAATAACGGGTTACGTATCTGTTTGGGCAGGCCAGATATCTGAGCGTCTCGAACTTCAACAACGGCATCTCACCTGGACGAAGGGTAGGCGAGACCCCTCTGTAATCACCACGAACAGGCCTTGTCTGCTCATTGCGCACATCTGGAAGCCCACAGTCGGCCTAACCTATGGCCAATAGAGGATATGGGGTTCGATCGCTACGGACGGACCAAGCTTCTTCGTGAAAAGCCCGCGTCTGAAATTCGTATAAGCTTTTGCAGTTTGCACATCACTTCAGACATCCCGAGAACTTTCACTGTTTTACCAGCCACCTGTTGTTCCAAAATCATCATAACCAGACATGAGCAAGTTGGCCCTAGGGCTAAAATCATGCACTCAGTCTACAAGTTTGCTCTCACCTGCAGGTCGCGCTTGCGACCATGTTTGCGACGATGTTGCAACTAAGCCACCTTCACTTGTTTTCGTCAGACCCCGCAAATCCTCACTCACCTCGACTATCGCTCTTAGCGCCCGTTATTCCTTCAGTCCAATTGTCGCGTTCCAGAACTTCTACTAGAACTTTTGCGACCCATCAAAAGCGATCGCAAAGATGGTGGAGCCAGCGGTCTTGCTGCGTGGCTCAGCGTAGTAAGTGCATCGACAGATTTTATTGACCTGACTAACCAGTTTTGACAGTGTCGACACCGCAAAGTTGAACAAGCTTCTGGAGAAACTTCATTCCGCGGACACCTTTACGCCGACCATGATTGCACAGTCGCAATCACACGCCTCCGCTCTGGCCGAGATCATCTGCTCTGACTACAAGATTCTCAACAATTGTATAATTCGACACGAAGCGTTGATAAGGAAGAGATGGATCAAGAAATCAGTCGCTCAGAGGAGTGAAATACTGCGTGCTACGTGGCCAACAATCGCTATCGAGCACCAACCCGACTTCGCTCGGCGACATCAAAACAAGCTATTCGAAAAAAGCGCTGGTCCAAAACCCAAAGAGCACTTTGACGTAATGCTTTGGCCGTTCATCAACCTGGAAGATCTTACGAAGCCAAAGTCTTTGCTCATCTATCTGAACTCGAGGGCCCGCAACCTACCCTGGACCTTTGTGACAGGCGAGGTTGATTTCTCTCAGTATGGCGTCCTGTGCTCCGACTGCAAGCCGCGTGAGATGTTCGCGACTGTGCGTTCCATGCCCAACGCCGACCCCACAGTGTATGGCCAAGTTCGGACAGTGCATAGTTGCCGTGGCCAAGTCGACGGGGATTTGATTCATTGCGATCTTATTCAAGGCCTTCAGATGTTGAGAATTCAGCAGCGCATCATGAGCTTTCTCGTGTCGTGTTGCCGATGCATCTTGCACGACATGACAGAGGATGAAATGCTGTCTGGACCAGTCTTGGAAGAGCCGCCAGTCTCGGAAATCTTTTTACAAGTGGATGGCAGCCATGCCAATCTCTCCGACACCATCGCGATCGCGCCCTACATCAAGCGAGGCAACCTTGAACTTGCCAGACTCCAAGGCTACGTCAGTGCGATCTACAGTGAAGCTAAGGATCACGTACTATCTTTGAGAGAAGATCCTTCTTACCTTGCAGACACGATCATCGACGTCTCGGAACATGCCTGCGAGCTTATTACGGATGCGCGCGATCGGATCGATCCAGGTGTTGATGCCCCAGAGTTTGTGGGGAGGGTCGTAAGGCACATCATCTCGCAGTCATACCAGAGGTTGATAATGTGGTTTGAGGTCTCGTCAAGACTAGATCAGCTTTGTTTGCACGCGCAGAATGGTACCGCTACCAATGATCAGCTACAGAATGTTCTTGATTTTGAGGCATTACTTGAACGCGCTCGAAGCTGCCTACTACGAGAGGTTACTGGCACCAGTACGGCGTCACCCACGATGCGGAGTTACTACAAACGCATAGTGTCCAGGTCAGAAGACGGTCCGTATACATATATCGCCGCCAGCGAGAAATCTTCTACCCCAACCGAGGCCGAAGATTGGATGCTGAGCGTGTTTCATCGTCTGCTGAATTTCAGTCAAAACGACTCTCGAAAGAACATCACCGGCTTTGCGGAGATGCACGGAGATGAAGAAAGGAGCATTGACATCGATCTTCACGCCACAATGGACCGCCTAGATACTCTGTCACGTAAACACCGGAGCGCGCGCGCTATGCTTACAGCTCCGTTGTCGTCCCTCATCAGCCAGCTCTCTATCGTTGAAGAGTGTCTTCATCAGATTCAGCTATGGAAAAGGTCGTCAGAAATCTGGCTACTTCTTTGCACATCCGGTCTGACAGCCACAGAGTCGAACAAGGGAGACTTCTCAACAGATTGGGCTCATAACATCAATGCCTACAACGTACCATTCTATTTGGTTAACCCGGCGCGAGGAACGCTACGCTATCCCATCGATAAGCCGCGAACCGCTCATAACGTGAAGATGATGCAAGAGTCGGAGTCAAACCTTGACAAGTTTTGGAATTGTATCGACTCCTTCTACGAACGCAAGACAGGTGTTGCGCAAGTTGATGTGGTTCGCCAGTGTCTCCTGGAAGGTGGTGAGATGCATCGCACTGTCCCATGGGATGGCCCAAGCGTCCCCAAAGACTGCGCCAAAAGCATGGAGTACAATATCATCAGCAACTACGACCACGATATTGCACTACAAATTACTGGAAACTTCGATAAGCTGGCCACGCGAGAGAGTGCCAAGCAAAAGACGCGCTGCCATGCTCCTCTAGATATCGAGCCAGCGATTCAAGTTCAAGACATCCGTCCAAGCCCGGAAAAGAAGCCCGAACGAATCTACTGCGTCGACAAGCGTGCCCACAAGGTGTTCAGGACCCTGTTCCATGTCCCTCTTTCAGATTCTGGAGAGACACCAAAGGCAATCAAGTGGGACGACTTCAAACGCGCCATGATTCGGGCTGGCTTCGCTGCCGAAAAGCTCCAGGGCTCAGCCTGGCAGTTTACTCCTTGTGGTTCTACGGATGTCGTTCGTGGCATCCAGTTTCATGAGCCACATCCCGACAGCAGCATTCCCTACATCATGGCTCGGCGTTTTGGAAGGAGGCTTCAGAGGGTATATGGCTGGCATGGTGGTGTGTTCAAGTTGGCTTGAGTGGGAAACGAAGCGATGAACGGAAAACTTGGCCAGGGAAGGGATGCAGCTCGTGCGACACACCCACAAACGCGTGCAGAGTACTTTGCTTCTCTTTGCGATGGTCTTCTTTTCTTTCTATTTGGTTCGTTCGTTCCAGAGACGTTTTGGCTCTACATGCATGGCTACGTTTTTCAACGTTCGAGTCTGAGACTCACACGCTGCAAAGAGTGCGCACAGGCTATCCAAAGTTCATCATCATATTTGCGTCGTGGTTCAGCATCGGACCGCCAAAACGTAGCAAATCCAAAGTTTCATTGTAGCTTCCATCTTGTGTGAAGAGCCTTAGCATCAGTCTACTGGAGCATCTCTCCTCCAAAATGTGTCCGACCTTTCAGTGATCACATCTCCGTCGTATCTTCTTCCATAGTATCACCAACTCCCTGGTTACACTGCGATCTCATGCGCGCCAATAGCCATATTCTCGAGACAAAGCTTTTTCGCATCCTGCTTCAGCTGTGCATCATTCGTGTTCTCACTGAGCAGCCGTAGGCTACGGTCATGTCGGACTGGAGCTTCACCAAGCTTGCTCAAATCGAGGATGTAACTCGCCGCCTAGATACGGAGCTTAGCCGCGGGATAATGACCTGACAACGCCGAAGGAGCATTTCCAAGCTTGAAGGTGTGAAGCAAACCGCGGACTGTTCCAATCGCGCATGCAATTAAGTGATACCCTTGTTGAGAGCAGGCGCCGCGCGCGCCAATGCTCACCGGTCCAGGAGCCTTGTACATGTAGTCGCCGCAAGTTCCAAGTCGTATCCCTCGCGTTCATCAACCTTCCTCGTTCACTCGACCAAAAGCACCTATCGCGCTATCAACCCAATCTCCCAGGATACATCGCATCTATAGACACGACGCTACATCTAGCGATTTCAACTTCAGATCCCTTCGACATAGTGAGCGCGACTGGTGAAACAAAAGATGTAGCCTCTCTTGACAAGCGCCATTCAAGTGGCACGTTGCGCTGCAAGCTCTCCACCTCTGACACCTGACTGGACGTCGGTTTTCGGACATTGAGTTGGCGCTCCAAATCCGACGGGGGCGTCATGTCTGAGCGGCTAGAGTGCGCACGATCTTGGATGACGCGAACAATTTGACTGAGCACTGCGAACTCAATCTTGAGCTTGAAGCTGTAAACAAGTGATTTGAAGGTCGTCTGTATCATGTAGAGATTCAAGAATTCCGTCGTAAGTAACGCGGTGTCCAAAATCAGCAGGAGTATGCTCATTGCGACGAGCTGCCACATCCACTTCCGGGCCTTTCCGTCGAAGATGACGCGCATTAGCTTGCGGGTTTCCCAAAGGTAGATGCAGGATATTGAGATCTCTTGGATGGTGAAGAGAGTCATTTGAATTTTCTCCATGACCATGTAACCGCGGAGATATCGCTCGGGGTGATTGGTGAATAACCGTAGATTCAGGACTACGGTTGGCACGCAAAGACATACTGCTGAAACAACAATGACCCAAAAGATGAATCGCAGAAGCCTGAGGTTCGGCGATATCAGATTTAGGCGCGAGTACAGAACCATGGATTGTCCGGGAACCATCAGTATCCATCCGAGCGTAAGGAGAGTGTTGTAAATACGAGGGTTATGCGCGACGCTGTTTTGTTTCATCCATGCCCCTGGAGACTCAGTTAGCCATCACCACTGGAACTCTAGAAGCTTATGCCTACCTGTCGCATACGGCACAATGCTGAGTGTGTTAACTATCAAACTCCAGAAGTATAGACCAGTGTACCGTCTGAATACGACGAAGATGAGGATTATGAGCTCAATCGAGTTGTACCACGCGATGGCTGTGAATGCTGTCATTGCCCGAGGAAGAACGCGATTGGTGCCGAACACGTCGAAGTTGGCGCCGGTGATGCCATTGGCATTGGTGACGTTCACCATCTTGTCGAGATTGCTATGTAACTGGACTTGAAGCTTTGATTGAGTGTTCCACACACCACATTATACTTCGTAGTTGATAAGCCCCGACATCTCCATCGACCGCACGGAGTGTGTGATATTGAAGCCACCGGCGCAATGTAAGCATGTGTAAGCATCGTTGGATCTGGTCTAGCGTCACCGCATACCGCTATGTTTGTGTTACGTGTTGGCCATGTATGGCTGCCAACACCAGATAGGTCAGATAAGGCGCGCAAATCGATATTGTGTATCGGAGTACTAGATCGTAGAGATACCGAGCGGTGCTGGCTGACACATCGACGTGGCTGCTGCGTGGAGATGGAAGCGAGCACCTACCAGCCTATGCGGCAGCCCGAAACGGTATGTTAAGCCTGTCGAGACCATCTTACACAGGAATTCCGAACCAAAGCTAGAGGATAGACAAATGGATCATAACCTATCATTGAAATGTAGTAGACTTTGCGAAGCTATACTGATGATCATTGTGGGGCGGGGTAAAGGATGCTGTAGCAAAGCAGCGTTGGAAGCAAGACGCAGTGGCCAAAGAGTCTGCGAGGATTCGCGGATAGGGTGATCGTGTCCAAACGGAAGCGCGCTTGGTCGTTTACTCGCGTTGTAGGTCGACGTGCATCGCAATGGACGGTGGGATGAGGGGATCGCGTCGCGTCGCGCGTCAGGGGCGGACACATGATTACTCAGATATGACGTAATACTCGATCCACAACGAAACTCCAACACGTCTCTCCAGCCACCCCATCTCAAACATCTTTCACGCGACGACACCATCTCCAGGTCCTACAATCCATTGCCGCTGTTTCTATCCTGAGAACGTCCGACTGACCGAGTTGACGTAAGCGAAGTGACAATGGGCCGCACGCGTCGTCTCATAGCACGCTTTGTCAAGCAGCGGGAGAGGAAGGGCATGATGCCGATGGATCACTGTTGAGGGTCTAAGCCCAGATATATGGCTGGGAGTGCTTGAAATTCTACCTGCCTGGCCACAATCATCCCTAGGCCACCCATACGTAGGTGTGTGAGCGGAGAAGTTTCTAACTGTCCCGTTCATCTTTACACATTATCAGTCTCATTCCATGTCATCTACGGATCGTGTCTTCAAAGTTTATCACCACTTCTCCGTATTCCAGCGCCTCGGTAATCAGGTCAAGAATAGTAGCATCTTTTCTATCGTTCTATGAGCTACAAATCGGCGTCGTCGCTATCTCTACTACGAGGTTTTCCTTCAGTCATCTCAGGGCTGCCTGGAAAGGGCAAAAACGCGATCCTCGAGCGCTGTTTCGCCTGTGAGGTGCGCTATGTATCCCGAGGCTTGACGTCAGAGAGATGTGTCTGTATTGTTGCCTGTCTCTTTCACTTCCTTAAAGCTACCGCTTTTGTGGCCGCTTTTGTATGGTGACTTGCTATTGTCGATGAGAAGTTGTAGCTTCGTGTCTCGCACTTATAATTTCTGGGAGCGCTATCTCTGATTGGACGTTGCTGGATCTTTACGCCTGGAATATCCTATTTGGGTAGATCACGTTCGCACGTTTTGCTATTATGACGCATTCACCTGGACTCAATCACGCATAGATATTACTGGCTCAATGAAAGTCGGTATTCAGTCGCTGTAGTCCTATAGATCCCTGTCGCACGCGATATCTTGGCCAAAGCGTCGCTCTCACGACCTTCTAGTCACAATACCCCGCTCAGTCACATCACACCGCGAGTCTGACCTACTTTCTTGCAATACTACACACATTTCTTCTGTCAGACACCTCTTTTCCTGTCGACCTGTATCTTCTTGCAATGGCTACCACCAACTCTGCCCCCGTCTTCTCATCTGACGGCCCCTTGTCCCCTCATTTGGTTGAGTATCTGGAGGCCATGGAGGAACGCATTGTTTCCCGTCTACTCGCCGCGCTCCGCCCAGTGTACGAGGCTGGCGCGCTGGAACAGATGCTCGCTAAGATGATACCGGTCGTCGTTGCTTCAGTTCAGGAAGCGATGCGCGCCGAGATATCACCAACGGACAACAACACCGTAAGTCTTGCGTCGCGTGATGAACAATCACCAGACTGACGGAAAATAGACCCCTAGGTCGAGACCTCGTAAGGCTTCTCGCAACCAGAGATCACGCCGCTCTGCTATTGTCGCGCGGTCACACTTCCAGCAGTACGAGAACGTTACCGGGCAACATAAAGACGTGTTCGAGGAACTTTGTACCGCCTTCAAAGTTCTGAAGCCTCACCAAACCTTCGACGAGTACTACCTGGATGTCGCGAGCAAGAAGCCCCTGCCGTCACTTTCGAAGGCTGAAGAGCGCATCCTTCTCCATGAACCCCGCGTGGTATCCATTCTTGAGTACGCCAGTAGTACTCCTTTACCAGACATCTCCAGTGACGAGGAATTCTCCGACGAATCATCTGACGACTCGTCGCTATTCTCGTCGGTCAGCAGCTACAGCACCTTCACCACGGAGGCGTCACTGTCTCCTGAGCTTGACCAAGCCATCGGCAGAGTTGAAGACTCCGCCAACTTACAAACTGATATCGATGACGACATGAGCGCCCTTGCCGAAGTCAAAGTCTGTCATGATGCAGTATCGGCAGAGCTATCATTCACCATTGAGCCTACATGGGCCCCCCAGAGTAACGGCGGTACGGCAGATGCGCCTGTTACCGAATACACAAACGACGATGGCAACGACCAAAACAGTATAGTCCACGTTGCCGCCGCTGGTGTACGTGAGAACCAGCCCGACACTCATCAAGAGACACACTCGACAGATACCACAAACTGCGATGTCAGTACTAGTGGGCTGTTGATCGTCCTTGGAGCAGCATCGCAAACCGAAGCGATGGAAGTCTGCATCCCAGAACTTACTCATTCTCGTCCGGTCGACTCTCAAAACATGCAGGAAGAGTTCAGCCAGACCATGGACGGGATAGAGTCACAGCCAGCTTCTCGCGATATCTCCAGCGTGGTACAAGGCGATATGGACGATGTCCAAGTCACTAGCCGCGTGGATACCGAGGAGCAAAACATGGTT